CGCAGCGCAGTCTCAGTCAGCAGCAGCTGCGGCGGCATCAGCGGCTCAGTGGCGGGCTGCTCGATAAGCGAGTGGGCGTGGCCAAGTGGTGCAGCGAGAGCGACATCTCAGTGCTGGAACAGGTGCAGGAGCAGGACGACGAGCCGAACTCAATGACCAACGATGACAGCTACGATGACTTCGACCTGGACTTTGACATTGACGAACCGATGCCGCTGCAACGGCAACGACGCCAGCAACAGCAGCACCAGCACCAGCACCAGCAGCAGCAGCATCATCACAGTACCGAGGAGATGGATCCATATGTGGATCGTGCGCAGCTGCGACAGTTGGCAGCGCCGGCGCTGCTGGCGGCACGACAGAAATCCCAATCGACAGAAAGTTTCTTTGAGCAGCCCAACGAGGAGGGCTCACTGTACATGTACGGCGGACGTCACCGCATCGTGGCCAAGCCGCCAGCCATGTCGAATCTCTATGAGCGTGTGCCAACCGAGCTGAGCTATAAGCGAACGCAATATTACAATAAGCCCTTGTTGCCAGCGCCCAGTTGGCGGGGCAAACAGCGCCAGCAGCAGCAGCAGCAGCAGCTACTGCAACAGCAACAAAAAGCTGACAAAAAACTATATGACAATACGAATAGCAACAGCAACAACAACAACAACAACAGTAAGCGACAGCTAACGAACAACAACAAAGATGACAACAACAATAATTTCAATAGTAAAAACAAAAGTATAACAGCAACAACTGCGACTGCGACTGCTACAGCAGCAACAACTGCTGCCGCAACAGCAGCAACAACAACAGCGCCATCAACAGCAACAGCAACAACACCAGCAGCAGCAGCAGCAGCAGCGGCAACAGCAACAACTGCTGCAACAATTACAAACAATGCACAAAGAATGGGTCGCACTGCCAGCCGCCTTGACATCAGCGACATGGAGTCCATTTATGGCTACCTAAAGCCGCGCAAGCCGCGCAGCCTCAGTCTCAAGAAAATTCAAATACTTGACTATTGAGACACGCTGAGAAAGAGAGCGAGCGAGCGAGCGAGCAAGAGAGAGAGAGAGGTTATTTTGCAGCATTTTGTTTGGGTTTCCTTAAATCTAGATACGCGCTGTATATATATATCAATGCCTTTATACCTTACCTGGCTATAGCTAAACACCTGTACTGAATTTGTTTTTTTTTTTTTTCTGAAAAAGAAAAAAAAGTACTAACTTTACTTTAAGACTTGGACCCTGGACGGCAAACAGTTTACCTTGTACATATTACAATCATATCACACACAATCATCCATACATTGCTTCTCCTATATATGCACTATATATGTATATAGTGATAGAATTTTGCTAATGTCACTTTATTGCTTCTTGTAGATTCCGAACTTGTCGAATCACCTTACAATCACATCTATGGACGCCATTTACCGCTGCCCACACGCGGCTATGTGCCCACACCACGCATGTTCATTGGGGAATGGGACTGAGAGCGGAGAGGATGAACCCTATAAATATATATATATGCATATACACCTATCTATACCTACACATATACATAATAAATACATGTAGGAACTGCTTCACACAATTCACGCACAAAAGAGAAATGAAATATTTTAACTGAAAAGAAAAACAAAAATTATTTTGCCAGCTAAAAACAAAATTTAAATTTAAGTCAATGAAAATCTTCAGTAATTAATTTAGCTAAATATTATGTTAAATATATAATAAAAAATAAAAGAAAATAAATAATATTAGGCTAGACTTAAATGTATACCACACACACAATATATAATGTAAAAAAATATAATATATATAATGAAACAAAAATATATATATGCATATACACATGTGTAAACAATATAAAATATTATATATTAAATAGCTGCGCTTTTCTATAGATTTTGTTCGCATATTGAGATTACGAAAACGCAGTCTATAATATAAAAATATATATTAATAGATACAAATATATATATTATGATCAAAATCTTAATATATACCTAAATATCTTTAAATTTGACAATATGCGCCATTTAATTTGTATAGTTTTTAATTATTTTCTGTTTGTGAATTTAATGCGTTTTTCCCCACTTTGTTTGCAGCCAAAATTCACAAAGCTAGTTTATGTTTAATTATGTCACATAATACAGATATATAGACATACAAATATGCGAAAATAATAATACATCACATTTGAAATCATATACATTTTTTGAGCAAATGTTTAGGCTGATTTTATATATTGTATATGAACATAAAAAAAACCAAGAATAATAAAGAATATTATATATTTTAGTAATAATAAAATAGATTTTTTTCTTCTGTTCTCTTTCCGCCGATCAAATTTCTTATTCATTTTAACTAGTGATTTGATAGATCAAACATTTCAATGGGTTTGTTATATATAAATGTATATATATGTAGAAATTTCACATGTAGTAATCGGGATTCCAATGTGGCGGAGGCAGATGATCTGGATTTGGAGCCATTCCACTAGGGTTACGTGGACTCAACGGATTGAACGGATCAAATCGTGCCAGCCCCGAACGGCCAGGAAATGATAATAAATTACCAGATCCCCGACCCAATGGATCCAAATCTCCACGACCAACATCTGGGAAACCAAATGGCCGGGGTTGAAAGCCATGCGGCATAAATGATCTAAAATTGCATTAATTAAAAGCAAGCTAACAAAAAGTATTGAATCAATGACTTACCCCGGGCGTCTAGGCTCGCCGATGCGCAAAGGATCTGATGTGGATGCTGGAGTTCTTTCGGTGTTGACCTGTGTTTGTGTGGTTGCCTCGCGTGAGTTGCCAGTGAATACCTAAAGAATACGATTATTAATACATAATCAGCGAAATATATATATTCATTGATCGCACCGGATCACAGAGCTCCTTGCGAAAGCGATCAACAATATCGGTTGCAGTTGGCATGGTTGTTGTTATGCCGCCCTTGACAGCCGCAACCAATGTTTCCGGCGTCACGCATATATTTGACACATTCTTAGTATTAATATCCAATAAATTGATAATCAGCGCATCTTCTGTAATATGGCCGAGCAGTAGATAGAGCACTTTATTATGCACATATCGTAGCGAGTATTTTGTATTATCGCCATTCCAATGATCAGGCAATAATTCACTGCCGACCTCGTCTTCGGGTAGTGTTTTCTGGAAATATAATATTTACATTAATATATGTTTGTATTCTTCTTCAATTGAATTCACACGAATTGACGAGATACTCACGTCGTCCCCAATACCAACGCAACGGAATTTGTAATGCTTAGTAAGCAGGAAATGAGCAAGCACTATTAGAATATCAGACTTCTTATCAATTATACTCTCTACAGTTTTGAATAACAGATCCCAGCCGTAAAAGAAGTCCGAATTCAATTTCTCAGATCCCGGCTTGGCTGTTGCGGGCTCCATTATGTCTCAGTGGTTGTGAGTGACTGTAGATATTGTTAAAGGATTAATGACGAAATACCAATTTGAAACATATTTCACAGCAACACACTAATCTAATCTAATCTTTTTTTAAATCGGTAAAATATATAGTAAATTTAGACAGAAAATACACCGCAATTCAAACATTTTTATTAAAATCGCATTAATCGCATTGCTACCAATATGCTATCGATTACCAAAAGTAATCGATCAAAATATAGCAATGTTTCGATTAGTTGCAGGCATATTGCAATCAAAACAAAACAGGTAAAACAGGTAAATGGTAGGATAGAAATGTCTTTTTGAACATTACGTAAAGTAATTTTCGATAAATATATATACATATAAATATAATATAAACTACTAAGCTTTAATAAAAATACTTTTTGAAAACGCATTCAGTGGAAACTGTCAACAATGAATTGCAAGAATATGTATTTATGTATGTCAGCAATATATGCGTTGTTAAACGTCACTATGAAGATGCTTTACCCAATAGTTCAATTTCAATATCTAATGCAACTACCGGCTTCAGTAACTGACAACGCTATTATCTTCATAAATCAAGTTATATTTACACTGTTATCTGCAAGAATATACGAGCGGCTTCGCCTCAGCTGCGCACAAAGATAACCAAATATCGAAATAAAACACTCAGCATTGCATTTGCTTGTTAGTGTTGAGAAACGCTCATTTTAGGCGTTTGATTTAATTGCAATTTTAAAAATATTTTCAAAGTAATATTCTTTGTTGATTACTTATTATTATTTATCTTCATCTACCTCATACATCATTTAAATTATTCATTAATTATTATTTATTACTGTTGTTCTACTTTTCATTTATGTTCGTGTCTTTACGTACATTGTATGAGTGCGAAAGAGACCACTAGCTGCAAAAAGGGTTGCCAAGCATATCAAATTTAATCAAATTCTTTAAAATCGCAATAAATAAATAGAATAATTGATAAAAATTATATTGTTTAGGCTTATAAAATTCAGCTTTGACCTACTTTTGATATGTGGAACTATTAGACTGAAAATTTAGGCTTTTACTATATGTGATCGTTGATTGAGATTGTAATTAATTGCAGATTCTGAGCTTGGATTAAGTTGGAAAAATATATTTTACTCTTAAAAAGTTCTAGGAAACTTGTCGGCTATATTAGATATAGTATGAATATGTTATATTCAAAAATATCGGCTCCCGAGTCTAGATAAACCTTGTTATGTATACTTCGTCGTGATTGAAGTCGGCAGTACCCGAACACCCGAAGTGGCTGCCATATTGAAAACGATATACTCCGACGACAGTCGTGTGAAAAATCATTTCTACACTGACATCCAAGCCAATAGAATTAATATAATACATAAAGTTAAATCATATTTTGCAATACTGAGATCATTATAACGCGTTTGCCGCCGTTGTGTCTGGGTGTGTGTGTGTGTGGGCGCGCATATGTGGGCATGTGTTAATGTTAATGTTCAAATATATTGCAAAAGAAACAAAACGCGCCGGATTGTTGGTTCAGCAATAGCTCTAGCAGAGTGTGCGTGCGTGTGTATGTGAGTGTGGGTGTGCTAGTGTGTGCACTCTCGTGCAGATATAAGATATTTCTTGGTTGCAAACCCACGTGTGGGTAGTGATTCAGTTTTGCAGCCGGCAAAGCAACCATCATGAGCAGCACACCCGGCATGGATCCTGCGCTGACGGTCGCAACGCCAGCGACGCCTTCTCCTTCACTCAACGCGTTTGATTTTGATTTCACGGGTAAGCAGAAACTCCCTCCCCTCCATCATTATCCCCCATAGCTCCATTCCGCCCTCGCTTGCGTCCTTTTTACCTTTGTCTCAAATATTCTTTGTTGTCTAGGCTCCAACTATGAAATGGATCCCAGCATTTCGGAGGAGGAACGTCGCTTCTATTTAAAAATGTATCCCACAGTGGACGTGGTCAATCAACGTAAAGTTCATTGCACCGTTTGCCGTATGCACCTTGGCACAGCAGTCAGCACAGAAAATAACATTAAGATGCATCCCATACTGCGTGTGACGCATTGCATCAAATGTCATGATTTCTACAATAGCGGTGAATTTTCAAAGGGCGAAGATGGCTCGGAACTGTATTGCCGTTGGTGCGGCCAAGGCGGCGAGGTATATTGCTGCTCCACCTGCCCGTATGTGTTCTGCAAGTCGTGCATCATTAAGAACCTGTCACGAGGCGTCATTGTGGACATTGAACAGAACGAGAACTGGAACTGCTTCAACTGCACTTCCAAAATACTCTGGCCGCTGCGCGCACAACACTGGGCGCTGGTCAACTACATACAGACGCAGAAGAAGTAAGTGCTTGAGTTCTGATATGTCTCTATTGATATAGCTAATGATTCCTCCCTGTCTCTATTTCAGTGGCCTCCAGTCCCTGCAACTATCCGAATCGGAAATGCGCAGGCAAACTCACAAGGACTACAGCACTTGTTGTCGCCTAGCTAAGGCGAAGGTGAATAGCTTGTCGGACTCCATGGAGAGCTTGGAGTCAAATACTTCAAAACGTAGTCACAGTAGCTCTACGAATTCGGGCAAGAAGTCTGCCAAGTCACAGGGCCCGCCTGCTAAGCGGCCAAAATCCTCCAATGACGATATCGTCTGTACGCCCGATTTGCTCAGCATGCTGGAACCGGATTGCCAAATTTCAGTGGCACAAAAGCCAGCTCCTCGTTCGAATATAACACCTGCTTCCAGCATCACGACGACGCCACGCATCGTCACCGTGCAACAGAATTACACCGGACCGCGGCCGAGCACGAATGGAAGCTCGACAGCGGGTCCTCGCAGCAGTCTACCACCTCCACTCGTGCTGAGCAGTTCCGGGATGCGTTATCGCCAATCCACGCCCAGTCAACCCTCTGTAGTGCGACGCACAGTGGTGCCAAATGCCATACGCTCGGCAGGACCTGTTTTTCATACCATAAATGGTTTTCGTGTCGATCTCAATAGTGCCGCACAACAGGACTCATATCGTCTACCCAACGGGCGGCTCATACAGGTGAGTCTAAGCACTGTAAATCTTTTAGTCCAATTTCATATTAATTCCACAAATTGTTTCAGGTCAAGCGGCAATTTCCACCTGGCCAACCACCACCGCCAACCACGACAACGGTCACGCGTGCGCCCGTTCCACTGACTCCACAGGTCATCATCAGGCAACAGCAACCAGCGGTCCAATCTCCACGGATGCTGCATCCAAACTTTGGATCGAACATGGGCATCTACAATCCACAGACCAATCAACAGCAGCGTGCACCACAAGTGGTGCGCGTCAACAACGGCAGCCAAGTGCATGCAATGAACGTCGCCCCCCAACCCCAAGCAACTGTTGGCAGTGGGAACAGCAGCAATGGTGCAGCAGGCGGTGGCACTACCATCATGATGACGCCCGCATCGGTGGCTAAGGCACCAACATTAGTGCGCCACGTCTTCTCCACATCGCCACTGGGCGCAGCACGCACTCAGCTGCAAAACCAAATATTTAATGCCATGGAAATCTGTACACATCTCACGGGCAAGGTGCAAACACTGACCATGTCCAATGCGTACAACGAAGCGCGCAGCTATACGGATGTCAAGGAACTGTACATACATCTATCCTATCTGATGACCTATGCGATAGGACGATTTAAACAGCTGCAGGACAAATGCTTGCTCGATATGCGAGAAATGGGCTTCAAGAACGACGCCAACAGCCTGGAAAATGGACAACTGGCAGCTGGTAAGATCCTGATATATATATAATATAATATAGATGACAGTTATGGTGATGTATATATTAATAGTTATTCATTATTTTGTTAGCTTAAGTTCTAGGTAGATGTGTAAGTTAGACGCTTAAACTAGAATAGATTGGTTGTTATTTTCTCCGACATTTGGCATATACCTTATCGTCTAAGTATTAGTATAGTCTATGGTAAATATAGTTTATATATAGCTCCAGCTGCTACTTCGCAGGCCTGGGGTTTCCTATGCGAAGTGGAAGTTTCTTCTTCTTTCTGCTTTATAGAAATAAGTGTACATTGTCTTTTGTGAATATTTGAACACATGGACGGGTGTTGCTCGACAATATATATAGATAATCTGATCTATATCATGCTATATATGTATTCGTATATTATGTCTGAGTTATACTTTGGTTCAGCCACCATGTAAGTATATTTTGTTGTGTTGTATGAAAAACTCTGCGAGTTCCATTTCCTTGGCTCCATTTCAAATTCGAATTGATCTTAAGCTCTTGGTCCATGTGTTTGTAAAATATCCAACAAAAAGGCAATGGAATCGAATTCAGCAGCAGTTTTTCGCCTTAGCTTTAACCATGTTCTCTCTCACCTCTTTGGCTTTATTTCAGCTGTGGACTATGTTTGCTATGGCCAGCTGGATGATGTGGATCTATTCAATAAGGGCAGCGATAGCTTTCACAATCAAGTCTACGAGTACCGCAAGAGTTTGCATGCAAATCTGAAAGACGGCGAGAAATTGGACCCACTGCCGCCACTATTGCCGCTGGGCGTGCGCGCCGAGGGTGATCCGAAGGATGAAGATGAGGATGCTGGCGGGACGGCGGAGAATGAAAATGATGATAACTATGACTATGACGACGACTATCAGGACGATGATGCGGATGACGGGGACGATGTTGACGACTTGAATGATGAGTACGATGCCCTCGGCACCGAGGAGAGCATGAATCGCAATGAGCAAGAGCATGCGTATGATCGCAAGCTAACGCGGTTGCTCAGGGAATATCCATCCATTTGGTGCACCCGCCATCCGGACTATGGCAAGATGGTGGTGACACGCAAGCAGTGGCGCGTCATAGCCAGCCACTTTCCACGGGGCGACGACATAAAGCTGCGCTGGAAGAACGTGCGCAAACGTTATGTGCGCATCGAACGGTTGCTCAAGCAAGGCAAACGTTTCAAGGGCTATTTCGATAAGGCCACCAACTATTTGGCCAACAGAGATGTGCCGCCCAGCGAGTGGAAGCCAGTCGATTGTGGCGAAGACGATGGCGATGGCTATGAGCGTAAGCAACTGGATGTCATTGAGAATAGCATCAATAAGGAGCAGAAAGAATGTGCCAAACCCACAGCACGTTTGACTGTGCGTCCTCTGGAGGTGCGACCTATTGATATGCGCATCATCAACTTCGCCAAGAGTCATCCTGTGCTGTGGCGCAAATCCGCAGATCCCGAGTTCAATAGCATAGACGAACAAACACGCAAATCTCTTTGGCTCAACTTCTGGAAGTCTGCGCCAAGTAAGTGCTTCAGGTATAATTTTTAGGAGAAATTGTCTAACTGCTTATCTTTGCAGACTATCGCTGTGAATACATTGTGGAGCGTTGGCAACAGATGTATGAAATGTACAAGTCCTTCCGCTTAAAGACCATCAAGGACAAACGCACCTTTGCCAAGCTAGAACTGAAATACTCCAAATACCTAGCCAATTTATATTTCTTGTATAAAATCGATGAACAGGATTTGAGAGATGAATTCGAGCCGTTGCAGGACTGTGTAACGAATGGCAACAGCTCCGCCGGCACAGCTGGCAAGCTAAAGGACATGCCGGACGATAAACAGTTTGTGCAGCAGCTGGTGCTGGCTATGCGTGCCTATCCCACATTATGGAATCCACGACATGTCGATTATAGCGACGTGGGTGCACGTGAGCGCCTGTGGGCGGAGTTGGCGCGGCGTTTGCCACGCTTTAAGCGTGATGCACGCGCCTGCAAACTGCGCTGGCAAATGGCAAAGTTCGCGTACGAGTGCTATTGCCGCGAGATGGAACGGCAACCTAGACCCAACGAGAAGACGCTGCAAAAGCTGCGCACAAACTTTCCGCTCGAGGAAATGCGGTTTCTTAATACCTAAGCTACGAATTTTTTAGACTAACTAGACTAAGTTAATTTATGCTAAACTTCCGACCATTCTAAGATTATATATAAATATTTTACTTATTAAAAATCTTTTTTAAACCTTATACTGTAGACTATGTATATTTAATCCTATCAACAAATATTTAAATTATATATAAAATATGAGATTACTAACCAATTCATGAACTCTTTGCAGAGAAACAAGCCAGCGACGATGAGGACAATGAAATCGAGATTGTGGAGCCGAAAACGGACACGATTACCATCGATTCGGATAACGAGGAGGAATTGCCTTCCGTGTCGAAGGTCAACCTGCCCAAGGGCCTGAAGATCACATCCGTTGTATCAACAGCACCTGAAGCAGGGATGAGTAAAGTGGACCCGGTTACTGCAAACATTGATCCAAATGCGGATATTGATGTGGCGGCCTTTAGCTCATCGATTCTGGCCAGTCTGCTGGAAGTGGACATTACCGAGGGCGCCGGCGAGGTCAAGACCAATCAAGCTACCTCACCTGGTGGCACTTTACAGAAGAAGCAGCCGCGCAAGAAGACGACGCACAAACCAAATCCTGCCCTGTTACAGCTGGAGCGCCAGCGCATGGATGAGATGAAGAGAAATGATTCAAAGCTCAAAATGAAGCCAATTGTCAGGCTGGTCCGTGCCGAGGATCAGTTTGAGGTAGCACGTAAATGGATGGAGAAAAATGGTCAGAAAAAGAGTGAGGTGAATGCGGACGAGCAGACGATGGAGGAAGCTGGAAGTCACAAAGAAACAGCTGAGGGAAGTGTTATAAATGAGGATAATGCTAGTGAACAGAATACAAAAAAGGAACTTGGAGAAGGGGATTCGCCGGAGAAACTTGGCGAAGAAGAGCAAGTTGAGCCAATGGACACAAGTGACGTAACTAAATCTCAAACAGATGAAGCAGAAAAGAACGAAGATGTAGATAGAAAGAAGAGTGAAAAAGATATAGATAATGGAAATCTAGAAGATGTAGAAGAAAGTGAAATAGAAACAATACGAAATCAAAATGTGAAGGCAGCTGAAGCTATGGAAGAAGAGGCAGAAACTGCGCTACATGAAGAATGCAGTGAAAATAATGAAAAACAGAAGGAAGGGAATGAAGAGAAAGAAGGAGCAGAACCTGTAACTACAATAACTGATGAAACAGCAAGGGATGGTAAGCAAGAAGCTACTGCAGATCATGAGATAAAAATTGAGACACCTGATGCGGAACTTTCTCATAAAGAGCTTGACGAGGAGAATACGGACAATGTGGAAGACGAGCAGAAAGAGGATGCAGCAGCTTCCGACGTAGAGCTGGATAAGAAAACAAAAGAAGACAAAAACCCAGAGCAGAATGATGATGGAGCACCTATGACAACAACACAAGAAAATGAAGATGCAGCTGAACAGAAAGATGAACACAACGACTCTGAAGCGGAGCTGGCGAAGCAGCCTTTAGAGGAAGCTGCTGATAAGACTGAAGCTCAGACAGACGAAGACAATACAGATACAAAAGTTCTAAAACAAGAGGAAACGGATTTTGATGCAGCCACCAGGAGCAGCTCACAGCCAGATGTGGCAGCTGCAACAAAGCAGGAAACTTCAGAAATTCCTGCAAGCAACAGTCCAGCTAAGGAAAGCATTGAGAAGACGGAGGAGGATCAGCTGGACCCACCATTAGAGCTGCAATATGATTGCATCGCTAACTTAGACTAAACACAAATCTGCCAGATGCTTGAAACATAGAAATGCTAAAATGAATTATTTAATTTTAATTTTAATTGTAAGCTCGAATCTAGTTTGTTATTATAGTTTTTAGTAATATAGGTTTGTATAACATAAGAAAAGAATTATCTGTAAAATCAAACAAAAACCCTTAGTAAGTCTAGCTTTAAGGTATTTAGTTTTATAAACATGATATTTGTTTTTATTTTCACAAAACATTAGGTCCGTAAAGTATAGGAAAACGTTACCAATTCAACAATATATCAACTACTTTAATAATAAAAAGTAATTGTTTATAAAAAAAAAAATGTTTTAATTTTTGTATTAAATAAAATTCAAATCGAAAAACAAGTATTTCCAAAAAAAAATTAACTTTTTAAATTTCCTCTTTTATTATTTTATATTTTGCGCTAAATTGAACAAAAACGTTAAACAAATTTGTGCGTTGAGCAAATACTTAAATTATATGAACGAGGGTAGTTACTATACTTTGTGTGTAGAAATAATAATATATAAATTTTTTATAAATTAAGCGTTTGGCAATTTTTCCAGCTGCCCTCGTGCTCCAAAACTGTAACCTATGTCACACGAGAGTATCTCAAAACTTGTACAGTCAACAAGATTTCTATATTATAATTTTGTTTTACATATTTCATATTTATATCTAAATTTTCGATTAATTTTCAAAATCCTTAACAATATTTCAAACTACCCACGTGTACATTAATTGTATTAAGAACGCGTGTGGGATATATCTATGAATATGATATTTGCTTAATTTTCTACATTTTTACATTCCAAATATTATAATACTAAGCTTTTGGCAATTTTTTAAACTACCCTCGTTTTATAGCCAAAAGAGCTATTTGCAAGTATTTCGGCTTTTAAACATATTTATTCTTGATTGTTAAATAATGAGCAACTGAACTTTTTAAAAATTTTACAGCTATAAAAACTCTGATATATGTATATATAAATAGAACTATATTCTAAAGATAAACAGCACTTCAATTCGATACGAAATATAATCTCAGGAACAAAAAAGGTATTATTTTGAATATATATGCTATATATTATGTATGTGCGCAATTGTTTTCAAGAATAGTATCGTGTGTAAGCAAAGTATATCTCATGGAGATTCTCTTTTAACTTGTATTTATACAAAGAAAGTCAAAGTTGTGCTTCTTCTTATCTATATGGAGACAGAAACAGAGAGAGGAGAGAGAGGCATATTCACAGCGCTTCTTTTATCTAACAATTATTTCGATTCCTTAATCGCATATGATTTAAGTAACGTCCCGGTGGTGGACATATTTTGGTATAATTAGTTACAAACCGATATGCTTCGACCATGCTCGCTTCTTTGATCTGATGCTGGGTGATGCTGCCCTTGAAAGCGCACAAATGTGGGGAGCTCGTGAAGCTAAACAGAGGATGATGTTTTCGCTTGATATTCGCGCGATTGGCGCAGAGTCCAGTAATATAAATATCTTCAAGGTAAATTAATGATGTATTTAGAGAGGCCTCAAATAAACGTTCGACCACATCTATGGACATTAGATAACCGGCACCAGACAGATACTTGGGATATACTTCGCCCTGATACATATAGTATGGGATATACCACTTGCTGCTGACGTCGCTGACGGGCACCACATTACAAAACTGATGTCCTATCATCACGTTGCTTGTGGAATTCAACCTATTGCGCTGAGCCATCACCACCATTGAGCCACGATCATGATAGTCGAGCGTGTCGTTATAGAGCGGCACCGTGCCGCCGAGTAGAAAATGCAAAATATTGGGTACGTTAACGAACGTATCATCATCGCATTTAAGAAAGTAAGCGCAAGTCTTCAAACAACTTTTGGTAATATGCTTCAGGGCCATCACAGATTTCAATGTAAGGTTATTGTACGTATCAATGAAGTCTTCTTGAATAATATCATTGTAGAGTTCCGCTTCGCTGTGTAATCTCACCAGGGTTTCATTGCTCAAGTGTGATTCATAGCTATGGCGACCGACTATGAATATAATGCGTACACTGGCCGTTATGTTTTCGCCTTCGCCTTTTAGATAGTCCGCATAGAACTGCAAACGTTTTTCCATCGGCGGCTGATACGGGCCCTTCAGGTGTGCGTGCAGCTTCGCAAATGCCGGGTAATTGAATTCTGTTGTATTTCCCCAGGTTTCTCGTATTGTTTGTCGTTCCACGAAATTGTTTAGGCCGGTGCAGACGGCAATAATCAGAAACGTTTTATTACGACAAAAGTCACGGGGTATTATGAGAGCCGTCTCCTGCTGTGGCTGTATGTAGTCCTTGATGTCCAGTGACGTATTCGCCGACCAATCTGCCAGCGGAACTGCAAAGAAATTACAGTTAATACAAAAAGATCTCATATGCTTCAATAGTTACTCACCATGTCTTTTTTGCTCATATATTGAAATGTTAGGCAGGATTATGTACCGAAAGAACAGATATACGAATATCAACAGCACGAAATGGCAAATTCTGCGTAAAAACCTTGGCGATGATAATCGCAAACGTTGACGTCGATGATGCAGTTTTCTTGCATCACGACATACTACCTGACTTAAATGCGATTCGTCGTCAGCCTGATCGTCGAGCAGCGTGCATTGTTCCGCTAGCTCAACGGCGTCACGTGTTGCATAGCCCATTGCTTCTGGTGATTGCAATTATATGATGCACTCCGTACTGCGCCAAGCTGTGTGCCTAGCTTTCATTCTGCATACAATATATTGATCGTCTTTACAAGTAAATATCACAGGACATTAATCAATAAGTAGTGCAGACTGCACATTTTCATTTTCACGAATTATGTTTTTACACTATCTTTTTCTTGGTTCCAGATAACACTTATGTTAGATATCCGGGCATTATTTGTATGTTGTTGTGCATCTGCAAGTAGCTGAGCGCCAGCTGGTTGTGGGCATTATCGATAGCTATCGATATCGAATGGGAGCAATTAACTTACAGTGGGAAGTGATTAAACTTGCCGCTGCTTTTACATGAACGTGAATTTCAAACATATATATTCACAGACCCACTCACATTTTCCGTCGATTGTATACATATGTATATATGCATATGCATATGAATATGTGGTCACCACAATGCCCTTGTAAGCCCTTCATATTCAATGTAACGCATATAAAGCAACTGTTTGTAAAGCCAATTACTTTTTGAATTTCCCGCGCATTTCTTAAATGTGAACTAATTGAATATGTAAATACTATAAATGTTTATTTAATATGTTATGTACAATGATAATTTGACAAAGGTCAGAAAATATATAATGCTTTTTAAATGTCAGGTAATTTTTAGCGATTTTTTGGAAAAGGAATGACAATAATGATTTGCTAAGTTTTGTGTCCACATGTAGTTATGTTTAAATATAGGCTTAGATGCTAAAAAAAAAAGATGGTTAATGATTAAAACATTTAGTAGCTAAAAATAACACCCGAAACCAGCAGCTGTGAGGATTGCGAAGTGTAATTTTAGAAATCCGCATCAAGTGTAAACACATTGTCTAGCCGATTCGACGTAACGCCCATACGTTGATATTCTCCAACTTTCTTCTCGAAAAAGTTAGTTTTGCCATCCAGCGAGATCATCTCCATGAAGGTGAATGGATTCTTCGTATTGTAGATTTTGCCAACACCGAGTTCCACCAGCAGACGATCCGCCACAAATTCAATATATTGGGACATCAATGCACAATTCATGCCAATCAAATTGACGGGCAGAGCATCTGTGAGAAACTCTTGCTCAATGGTAACAGCATCCGAGATAATCTCGATGATACGCTCCCGGCTGGGCCGTTGCACCAAATGCCGGAACATCATGACAGCAAAGTCACAATGCAAGCCCTCGTCGCGTGAGATCAACTCATTGGAGAACGTCAGACCTGGCATCAGACCACGCTTCTTCAGCCAAAAGATCGAGGCAAAGCTTCCGCTGAAGAAGATTCCCTCCACGGCAGCAAACGCGATAATTCTCTCGCCAAAGTTCGCCGCCTTCGATGAAATCCAAGAGAGCGCCCAATCAGCCTTTCGCTTGACAGCGGGCATTGTTTCAATGGCATTGAACAGATAATCCCTTTGCTGTGGATCCCTAATATATGTATCGATCAGCACGCTGTACATCTCCGAGTGCACATTCTCCATGGCAATTTGAAAGCCATAGAAACAACGAGCTTCGGTTATTTGCACCTCCTGGCTGAAGCGCTCGACCAGATTCTCATTAACAATGCCATCGGAGGCGGCAAAGAAGGCGAGCACATGCGAGATAAAGTGACGCTCGTTATCAGTTAAACGTGCCCAGTCCGCCAAATCCTTGGAGAGATCCACCTCCTCCACAGTCCAGAATGAGGCCTCGGCCTGAAGTTGAAATGAAAATTGCAAATTTTTAGTACTTACTATAGCATGCAACAAAACGTAATGCAATTTCCCAATTGTTGGTATCTTTTATAGAGCTCTAATTGAATGCATATAGCTTATCATTCAATCTAGTTAAATAAATATGTGCACAGGTATTTGTCCAAGTGCGTGAGTGAGTAACATTGTTAGCATGTGTGCAGGTATTCATGGATATGTACATATGTATGTATGTGTCTATGGATGAATATCCATACATAGTAAATGTAATATAATATATGGAAGTAGTGGTATACGACTTTCATTAGTCCAGATAATTTAACATTATATAATTATTTCTTAACTCATTGCTACATTTGGTAAATAATTATTTGTGCTGTTAATGAGCATTGAAGTAGTTTAAGGCAATTCCAAATAAATGGGTCTGGAGCCATAAGTGAAGAATGTACATATTTGGCTGAATGGTTTGGTTTGAAACAAGCTTTTGCTAAAAATGTCAATGCACATTTGTAAGTACTTATTGCATTGATGAAGAAATAATATAAACAAGAAAGAAAGCTCTAGTCGAGACTGCTCGACTACGAGATCC